TGACCTTTGACCTTTGACCCCCAGCTTCGACATCCCAACTCGTTTTGACGATGCCCCCCGACGTCCCGAATATCGTGAACGTACGTCGAGCGGTTAAGATTTATGCCCAACTGTTGACGCACGGACGGACGGACGGCCGGACGCACGCACGGACGGACGGACGATTGTGCGATTCTACAAGCTGCATCTGACTTCGTCAGATGAGCTAATAAGAACCTTTCAATGCAATTCTAACACTGGTAGGGGCAAGGATAAGCAAAAAGAACACAGTGATGCAGAAATCCATTGCACCAAACGAACGTTTAGCATGTGGAAAACGAACGTGGGCGCTGCCGTATTTGATCACGTGCTTCAAATCATGCATTTGATTGGTTAATCCAAAAACTGTTGCTTGAATCCGTCGCCTGGTCAGCGCACATGTAGCGATTGTTCAGCAACTTGGCAACAAATATCAAACGTGTCAAACGTGTTTGATATTCCAGCGACGAGTTTCTGGTGTCAAAATCGCCATCACCGTGCAGCGCACACGTGGCATTTTCTCGGCGATTTTGTTGCTGGCAACAAAATTGCCAGTACTGTCGATAAAAATCGCCACGCGTGCGCCGGGCTTAAGACTAATAGGAAAGAGTCACATCTAGATTGCGTTGTGTACCTGGTACCTATACATACCTTAGCTGAGACCATTAAGGATTAGTTTCTATGCATATTAGAACGAGGGACCTTAATAACATATAATGAGTAAGTACTTAATGAGTGGTGACCCTAACTGTACATACGTTGTTAGTGCTAGATGTTTAATTGGTATTATATGGAATAAAAATTAAAATATTTTTAATTTTACCTGCAGTAACATAAAAAAAAACCAGCAAGTACCAGTTATGTTAGTGTAGATCAACAAACCTTGGCAAAACAGTGGCATTATGTGTATCACCCGGAACAGTACCAGATGACCCATCAAATGAATGAACATCGGTGGTCTTGTCTTCGTCAACCGGTATAGGACTGCCACCTAGAAGCATAAGAGAATTACAACACATTACACAATATAACAGAGCACTGATATCATACTATAACAATATGAAATAAATGCAATAGCATAATAGTTCTTTGCAATAAAACATCTTGTGATTGTGATTATTTTGCTCTTCTTAGCAAAATTCAGTGCCTGCCAGATAACTACTAATACAATTTCCATACTTGGTGGGGTGTCATAGGACTTTATTCCATCACTAGGTTGTTGTAAGTTCTTGGGGAGGCTTTTAGTGTTGAAAGCCGTTTTGATATTCTCCACAAAACCTTTGCAATCTTCATTGTCTACCCATGATCTATCTCCTACAGCATCTTCTAGATACACCTGTAAACATTTCCAGAGATATCCCAATTAAGGAAATTGTCAAACTATATTAATTTACCACAATACTATAAACCTAAACAGACATGCGGGCATGTAGTGGTAGCGACGTAAAATTCTCACATAATGAAGTAACCATTATGAAGTAACAGATTGGGAGGTGGGTTGAGATGAGAAATTATGAGAAATGTTTAGGAAATTAATCAACTGCAACGTTCAGAAAGGGATGTCATCCAAACAAAAATCAAGTTTGTTTCATATTAGCATATCTGTTAGAATGACCACTATACCTTAACAAACGTTTCTGGCCAACTATCTTCATCTTGAAATGCAGCCATGAGAATATTACAGGCTAGTGTTTGTACTAACACATTCCCTTTTGATTTATAGCTGTATGAAACATCTCTCCGTAATAGACTGCAAAATGCCTGTAAATTGTAGAGCAAATCATTGTAAAAAGACCTGATCACTCTAATATGCACATCTTACTCAAACAACAAAAGTTTAGATGAATCAAATGTAAAATTTCAATTTTGTTTCATGTGCCATACAGTAGCTCAAAAGATAAATAGTACACTATAGTATAAAAAGTATAACATTACAATATAAATGTCTTACCTCTAACACAATGTCAGCATTAAAGATGGACGGCCTCTCTTTGACAAGCAACATGAGACCGAGAAAAATGGCACTGTCTGGACGGGTGCGGTTTGCACGCAGATGCTTTACCGCACCACAGAGTAAACCCTCCACCTTCTCCTCTTCTCCAGCATCGTGTGCCTCCAATGTTTCATCCACCAAATAAATAGGGTCAACTAGAGAACAATATTTTAAACTCTAGTATAATTCAAATCCTGAACAGGGAAGTCAAACTAAATAATATACTGCTTATTCATTAGGAGGGACACAAACAAATCTCCAGCTACTAAAACTAGTGCCGCAACAGCGACAGTGCTCATCTGCTGCTCTACTGTACTGGCTTTCGTTTCTGCAAAAGGTTGAAAGCCTGTTCTATCGCTAAACCGGCTACGTCATCATCAAAACTGTGTAGCATAGGTATTAACACTAAAACTAAACCCTAACAATGCATCCTACTTCATACCTGCTCGACTGTCTCATATATTCGTGTCATAATGTATCACTAGGCCTATAGTTGCCGCGAGATGGCGCGTGCAAGTGTAATCAATAATCAAACATGGCATCAACCTTCGTGCATTGGTGATAAGTCAAGAAAGTAGAGATAACCTAATTTCATTGAGTTGCTGAAATGTACAGGCTAAAATCCAAGTATATTCAGGCAGGCAACAATTTGGCTCAGCTGTGAGTAATAAATTAAACACATCTGCATTGCAGGTGTGCATGTTTATTAGAAAAGTGCCAGTTCACCCCCATGCATCAGTAATGGATTGCACCCGGGTTTTTGCCTACATTTCGGATGCCGGTAGCCACGCTAGCGCATTCAGGGTGCTATTAATATACAGACTGCTTTAGAAAATAATATGATTTAAGGAGTGTTCAACAAACTTTTGTCTTTGCAATTGAACTGCAAATGTAGCCTCACATCCACATAGGTATGGGCTCTAATAATAGCAAAAGCAGTTCAGTCCTTTGTTAACAGTCAACAAATCCATGTTGAACCCTCACTTTCAGGGTAAAAAGGTTATCAGACACTTACTCTTCGCATGTCAGCAGAAAGTACATTTCATGGTCCTTTCAATAAAGCCATAAAAATGGTAGGTCACCGCTGAAACAAAAAAGTTTTTCAATCGCTCCGTCAGACCATGTCCTCAGAAAATGTCTAAAATCTGCCCTGTGCCCCATTGACCTTTGACCTGTGACCTCCAATTTCGGCACAGTGATGGCTTTTCCTACCCTGATGCTATACACCGACTATCACGAGCCTAGGTCGAGCCGTTTAGATTTGTGCCGCAATTCTGCATTTCCTCCCTATACCTTAAGTTAAGGAGGGAATGTTCCCCCTTCTTTTACACCTCTTGACTTTTGACCCCCAGCTTCGACATCCCAACTCGTTTTCGGATTACACCCCCACGTCCCGAATATCGTGACCGTACGTCGAGCGGTTACGATTTGTGCCCAACTGTTGACGCACGGACTGACGCACTGACGGATGGACGCACGCTCATGCGATTCTACAAGCTGCATCTGACTATGTCAGATGAGCTAAAAATAGTGTAAACCACCACCTTCAATAGCTATAGCCTCATATGCACTTCTTTCACTTTCAGTGGTCTTTGCCAGAGGTGTGAAACTGTGGCTCGCTGCTGTCTTTGGCCTTTTAGAAAGGCTAGAACCTGCAGAGTATGTTTAACTTGTTATTCATAAAAAATTGTGTGTGACAGAGTACACTTTGTGTCACCTTAGTTATATACATAAAAGCATCATTATCAATTTTTGTCTACTGATTAAAATAACAAAATATAACACCTGTAAAAACACATGTAAAACTCCTGCCTGGTTACCTGGCATAACAGCTACAGGCACTCCTTCTCGCTTTGTACCCAGAACACCTTTTCTCAGTACTGGCTTTGGTTCAGTAGCATCAGACAGTGAGATAGGCACTGCTCGTTGTTTTGAACCTATATAAGTGATATAGATAATATTATATTATGTTACATATCGCTGAGGTCATGTATTTGTATGAAAGTTCAGTACAAATATGTGTTCATACAATAATTTACATTAAAACTTACATGTTTTGCTCTAGCATGCTCTTTGAATCTCATATAGGGGGAGGAGAGGTCCATAACTTCATAATCAGTTATATTTTATTTATATACAACTTCATAATATTCAATAATACTGTGGAGATTTTCACACAGTAGTAATCACATATACCGTAGTTATATTCAAACATACACCATAAACTATAACCAATATAGCACATCATTTATTATGTCTAAGTGGCGAGTAATAAAAGTGATTCCATTATACATATATCACGTATATAATCAAAATCAGCATTAGGTATTTTATTTCACTCTAGTGTCCAAATACAAGCTACTGCATCTCCACTCTGCCTAAGGGTAGGAGGGGGAAATGCATTTTAAGGCCCCAACACTACAGAACACACATTAAGCAATTAATGCCTACTTTCCCGTAGTGGCCACCCCTAGTATAGGTCCAATACAATACTATGTCAGATATGATTAAGCATACCTAGAGCGATAAAGTCACCAGGCAGCTGTAATGAGGTCTTGGCTTTTGATCCACGCCTTGCTGACCCTGCAGTACCACTTCCTGATATTTTCCCAGGCCTATCCATATTCCTGTTTCTGTATTAACTCAGAAAATTCTAAGTTACAGCCTGCCACAGAAAATACATTAATTGTGAAGTATACGCTCGTCTACTACTACTAATTGATCAACTGCCTCTTACCAATGTTTAACATAAACTTTAGGTGTTTTTGCAATGCATCATCGTTAAACGAACTTTATTTTAAGTCTGAAGCACTCATTAAAATTTAATGTGATTTAGCAATAACTCGCAGTATTGATTTGGCCATGCGGTCAATGTAAAGCCATCCCCAAGCTCTTCTTTTCAATTCTTTATAGCGTTTATTTCTATTTATCTATTCTTTCTATACCATTACAATTTACACTCCCTTAGACTATAATGGCACAAACCTAGTAGTAGTACACGAGCCTAGTTCAGCTAGTACTACTACCAGTACCAGTAGCCCTACCAGCCTATACGTTTGTTTCACGTACTGTACTACTATGAGATGCGAGAATGTAAAGGGGGCCTGGCTGCGAGTTTTTTTTCCCCAGTCGACATAACATAGCGAAGAATTTAGCGCCTTCTGATTGGTTCTGATTGGTTCATCCTGCCTCCTGATTGGTTCAAAAACAGGCTGCTTTGCTTATTTAGCATATGTCATGTACTGTTTCTTATATATCCTGTGTGGCGTGGTGGATAGAACACCGTCGTTACTTCTGAAAGGTCGTTGGTTCGAATCCGGTTTGGTTT